AAAATACAAATGGCATTTTAAAAATAAGATTAGAATTCTACAGTCAAAGCTTGATTCACTTGACCATGTGCTGCCTATATCTTTAGATATGTTTGATTGCCATTAAGGACCGACAGTGTGTTACAGCCACAAAACCCATAAAAATCCACAAACCACTCAGCAGAAGACAGGTATCTGAGAGCAATTTTAAAGGAAGAAGAACAGTCTTCGACCTACCAAACCTGCCAGAAATTAAACAAACAGATTCTTTTGTTAACATGGAGAATTCAGCAAAAGAATGACAACAGTGAGATCTCAGAAAACCTCCCGTATTCTTCACTAATGCAGACATCAGTCTGGCTGTGAGTGATGCTTCTCCCCGTGCGATTCTGTACACCCTAAACTGAAGACACAGCTTTCCTCGTTCTGTATTATCCACTTAGGGCACGCAGTGTCCGTCCAAAGCAAACATTTAATTATTTTCAAAACAGAGTTGTAAATTACCTACATTTTAAAGCAGGAGGCATATACTACTACATCAGAGCACATCAGACCTTGCAAAAAAACTACATTCCTACCTTACCAGGTCCGAACGGAGAAGCTCCTCCAGCTCTCGCCTCTCTAAAAGACAGGAGCGAGTTACGGGAGCGAGCTGAACACCTTTCGCTTCACAAAGACACCTGCAGATCCCAACCAGCCTCCCGAGCTGACAAGTGCTCGGCAGCACTGCTCACCTCCAGCTGGCAGCAACAGCTCCGTGCAAACACCATCGGACTACTGCCGTCAACTGCAGCGGCTCAGAACAAAAGTAAGAGAAGTCTTGATCCGTGAATATGTTTCAACACACACACACATTCAGAGGAAATGACTCAACTATCTCCACATCTTCAAACCCTGAAAGCTGCTTCCTCCACCCTCCCCCACTGCAGATGATGGTGTGAGCTGAAGGGTTCTCCGGTTTATTTATTAAATAGCGCTGTGAAACAAATATTAAAGCTCAGCTGGTGATCGGTAAATTACAGATCATCCCTACACTGACTTTTTTCAAATAATGTCTTGAGCGGAGAAATACTAAACTCAAGTGTTTGTTTTAATAAATGCCTATATAAGTATTCCATGAAAACAAAAGAGAACGCATACTTTCTATCCTAGTATATTAATTCGGAAGATATTCTGAGATTTAAAAACAGTATTCAGATACCATCTGATATTCATCTCATAAAATTTCAGGGAAAAAAATTTTCTTGGCCATTATAGAAATATCAGAGGCTGAAAAAGAAGGAATTGAGATAAAAAGGAAGTGATAAAAATGTAGACTTCATCCAGCTGAATTTCAATCTGCATTCAGTCATAACTGAGTAAGTATTCCACAACTGGAGATGCATTGTTATTTGTTTGGCATTACAGCCTGTCTAGTTTTATACACCTTTAGTATGGCAATTTATTTCTTTAATCTCTACCCACTGAAGAAAATCTTGCTTTAATTTACCTTGAATCTTGAATACAGAAAGAGGAGTGGCTCTCCTTAAAATCTCTATACCTTGCACATTTTGCAGTCGTTTCTGTTCCTGTAACACCCCTCTCTCTCAGACTGCTTCTGATGTATGGGTTCTCAGTTTTCTGGGGTTTGGTTTCTCTGCAGTACACATAATATTCTGCAGGCGGTGAGAAGCGAGCACTGTTTGGAAACGCGGATTTTCTCCCTCCATTCCACAGAGACGCCCCCGGATGCTCGGGACCCTCTCTCAGGTTGGTGCCGTTCACCCGGGAATATGCAAGCCTAGATTTAAATCCAGCAGTGTGACTTTGAAATACCCGTTTTAAACTTTACAGATAATCAGAAAGCACACAGCAGGCTGCACCCAAAGTGGGCAAACCACTGTTATTCGTATTTTAAACGTTGAAATAACTCATTTAATGCATATCATTAACGGCTGTAATGAAGCACGGGTAAGAATTCCAGACTCTTCCTTCAACAGCACGTTGCTACAAAGCAGATGAGTTTGGTGAAATTAGTTATCTCGTATCACATAGCAGCCAACTTGCACACTAAACTTGGTCAGAATGTTCCCCTTTTTTCTTAATTTTAGCTTAGTTTATCACTTCAAAATGGTGGAGTTAAATATGCTTTTGGCATTCACTTCAGGACGAAAAAAATAAAAATCGCTGCTAAAGAAAAAAGAGCACAGATGAGAATCACGCACCTAAGGCAGGAGACTGTGACTTCAGGTTCTGATAGATCCACCTGAGATGCGACACGCTGAAATAATAGAAATCACAGGAAATGGGTGCAGAAGAAACCTCAAGAAGTCATCGCTCCCATGGCACGAAGAAAGATCATATGTCTGACATATATATGACACACATGTGACCACATACATGACGCTGCCAAAATCTCCACGCCAACAGGTGAAGAGAACTTACATTTTGACAGACTTCTCCTCACTACCAGCACCCAAAATAACTTAGGAGAAGAGATGAACAAGGAGTAAAGCATCTCCCTTCTCTACTACAAGATATTTTCCCTAAACCAGAAAAATTTTATCTTAAAAAATGATAGGGAGTGCTGGTTTTGTTACTGCGATAGGGATCTCTGTAGCTTCTGCAGCTTCAGATGCACGCCCCTGCCCTTGCCCACATCATTTAATCCCTCTATGCCTCATCTTCAACCACTGGAAGCAGTGTAAAGATTCTCCCTTACTTTGCAGATGAACAGTGGAGCACTCGGATATTGCTGGGAGAGGGTCCACATCAGGAATCGTAACATTTGTTATCTCCCTGACTGCAGCTCTGGATAACAGTCATTAATTTTTAAGTGGCACGTACGTTGCTGTCCTCATTTAGTGGTAATTTCCAAAGAACCTCGCATATTTTCCATAGAGGAAAAGCAAGCAATGGAAGACACAACACTACAGAAATAAGAAATTGTAAGACGTACGTTTTTTAAAGCAATGTCATCTATCACTGCTGTCTGCCTTCAAAGCCATAAACCCCATCTGCTCCAAACTAATAAATACTAAAGGACAGGTTCTTACATACGGTCAAAATCCACCTGGGTAGAGCTCTTTGCAGAAGTGGCTTGAAAGACGGTAAAACAGCCATCACTTTGCATGGTGATAAAAGAAAGCACTTTGCCATTCAAGACCACAGCAACATGCTGAAACAGGGATGCTGCTGATGGGGACCCACCCCAACGCGCCCCGCAGACTTGCGGACGTACCAGGGAGACAGAGATCGCTAAACTTCCCCTCAGGTACGCTCTTGGGAAGGTATCCCTTTCTTGACCGGTGCCTCCTGAGCTCTCCATCATCCGGCCAGTCCCAACAGCCGCTCTCCTGGATCCTCACGCTGAGGGCGTCCCCCAAAGCCAAGGACGACTTCTCTTCCACACCAGCAAAGGTGCAAAGGAAACGAGTGTGGACTGAGCAGTGCCCTCCAGAGCGCTCAAGTGGATGCTTGGATGAAAAGGTGTGAGGCTGAGCACCCCCCACTACAGCACACACGCAACGGTGCGCACCTCCTGCAACGCTGGGAAAAAGTGGGGGGTTTTGGTCTTTTTTTTTTTTCGTTTTCAGAAGGTGCCTCTCTCCTTAGATCTAACGACACACGATGATGCACTGTTACACCAACAAATGTTTTCCAAGTTTGGGTTCTGAAACCCTCTTACAAGGGATGAGAAATCAGTTATTTGGAAGGTAAAACGGGTCTCATAGCTCTCTCTTGTGAGAGAGAGAGAGAGAGTCAGCAGACAACGGACCTGCGACACTGAGTAAAGTGTGTTTAAAATGTGCATTTTCTGCTGAAGCTCATATGCCAATAAATACACACAATAACAACACTTTCTACAGAATCCACGTGTACATTCCAGTCAGATGACCTCACTTTTGAAGCAAACATCTGAAAAGATTCTTTACTCTCATTAAGAAATAATAAAAGGTGATTAACTACACCCTAACCTAGTCATTTGAGCAACGCATTGCACATTGCCCTGAAAGAGTGGAACAACTTATTTCAGCTGTTCCACTTGGACAACAACAGTGTTACGTTTCTTCAGAAAACTCCACAGCTTTGTGAGCAGCATCCCGTTTCCCGGAGCTTGCTGCACCTTTCTAAAGGAAAAGACTACCGACAAGCGTTTTGTAAAGTTACTTCCCGATTTAGCATTCTAAATTAATACAGAATTAATGAGATATAGCTCCTGTTGGTATTGGTACGATAAGGGGAAAATAATTTTCATTTAATGAAAAGACAGTAATTGTAACCCTGCAACAACGTCTGATTAGAAGGATGCAAGCATACTGCATTCAATATTAAACTGACAAGTACTGTGTTTCTTTCAACTCAAGAACTTTTGTTTAATGTGATAGTATTTTTTTATAGTATTTTTTTCTCGATTTCAGAGAAGCACTTTCACTGCTGGGGAACGCCTAACCTTCCAACCACAGGCACGTGCAGCAGAAGGAGGTCCGGGCTGTGCCGATGGGGAGGACGCCGCCGGGCCAGCGCTCCGTCCTTCGTTCAGTCTGCGGGGCCTTAATTCCATAACTGAGAGACCGAACAGCAACCATAACCACCAATGACAACAGTTAAATAATGGTACCAAAAACTATGACTCAGCTAGTGTGAATAATTTACGTGAGTTAAACTACTAATGCCAATTTCCCTATACCTTGACTAATGGCTCTGTTTTCTTCTGTCTAGTGACAGCACGCTTCATCTGAATTTCTTATTAATTATGTCTGCCCACGTGAATTATTTCTGCAGATGGAATCAAATGCACTTTACTAAGATATTGAGTTTCCTACCAAAATGTGAAAAAAATACAAAAAAAAATAAAATAATGATTTTACTGAGTCTGTACGCCCTTACAGGCCTCCAGCTTTACCCCTGCAGACCACTGAGAAGTCAGTTGCTGCCAGCTGGAAAGAAAACTGAAACCAGCTACACCTTGTACATGTAGACAGCTTGGAAACGAGTACTCTAGTCCTGCCCACCATGAGCAGCCTCTCCAAAAACCAGACATGAGAGTGCATCTTCCAGGAGGAGACGACCGGGCGTCTCATGCCCGTCTGCCTGTTATACCACAGACGGGTGATGAGGATGAAGAGGCCTCTGACACAAATCAGGGCAAAAACTTCAAGCACAAGGACCACAACTGTCCTTCCAAGACTTTCACCAAAAACCCTGGTAGAGGGGATTTCTCCAGATGTAGGGAACAGCGAGTCTGGAAGAGGTACAAAGGATCATCTATGAATTTCCTAGGGAAGATACTATCTACCAAATCGTCTGCTGGAACTGAGTTATCTGCTACCAATTCCATCATTTACACTTTCACACTACTAACCAACAGACAGTAAAAATGCTTCTCATAATATGTTCACAAAAGAATCGCCTGAATCGTGTCGTGGTTTGGACCGGTGGGGATATCGGAGAGGCTGTTAAATCAACATTTAAGAGAGGAGAACACAAATACGCAATATTTAGACCAACAAGAGTTGCAGAAGGCCTGGAACGGCATCTGCAAACGGGCACTGATGGTGGGGCCCTGCCCTGTGCCACCATATCAGGCAGAGCGCGTGGCGTCACGGGACGTCTGCAGCAAGCCCACTCACCTGTGGGGAGTCAGCGGCCCACACCACAGCCTCGCACACAATACATCTTTAAAAAACAAAAAGATTGCATGGTAATATGCTTGTATAGACAAGTGTGGAAGAATAAAAATTAAAAACAACTAGAAAGCCAGACGGGTGTGAATTGTTTCTCTGCATTTTACATTACTAATGCAGTTTATACCAGCTATTTGATCCTCTGCGGTACATAAACCCCAAAAGGTTTGTGGAATTCCGCAGGCATAGGGCAGTGCTGCTCACCTGCCACTGGTACCCGTGGCACACGCTTGTGCTTCGCTCATCTGAAAAAGTCTATTTGCTTGCCAGATAGACCAGAGCTGGCAGGTTCTAAAAGAGGTCACCAAAACCAAGGTGATAGCTACGACAAGATGACTGGCTCGCTGGGTGAAGGGAGGGCAGCATGTGGTGTTCATCTCCACATTAACAACGCCTTTGGCACTACCTCCCATAATATCCTCATCGATGAGCTGACAAAGCATGGACTGCATGCGTGGACAGAAAGGTAGGCTGAAGACTGGCTACACCACGATGCTCAGAGTGATGTGACCAGCAGTACAAGGTCCAGCTGGAGGTCAGTCCCTGCAAGTGTACCCCGAGGAGCAATACTGGAGCCATCACACTTAGCATCTTCTTTATTCACCTGAAGACAGGGCAGAGCGAACCCTCATCATTCACAGATGATGCAAAACTGGGAGAAGTGGCCAACACACCAGAAAGCCATGCCGCCATGCAGAGGGACCTGGACAGGCTGGAGAAATGGGGAAGTGCCAAGTCCTGCACCCAGACAGGAACACCACCATACACCAGGAAACACTGGGGGCCAAACAGCTGGAAAGCAGATCTCCAGAGAAGGTCTCGGTGGACACCAAGTTGATTGTCAGCCAGCAACCTGTCCTTCCAGCAAAGCAGACCAAAGGTCTCCCAGGCTGCACAAGGCAAAGCATTGCCAGCAGGTCAAGGGAGGTGATCCTTCCCCTCCGCTCACACAGGTGAGGCCACATCTGCAGTGGTGTGTTAGGGGCTCCCCGGTATATTTAAAAAAAAAAAAACAACCAAACAAGACACAGTTACTGGAGTGTGTCCAGCAAAGGACCACAAACATGATGAAGAGAACTAGAGCACTCGCCATACGAGAGAGGCTGAGAGAGCTGGGAATGCTCTGCCTGGAGAAGAGAAGGCTTGGGGGATCTTATCCATGGGTATAAACACCAGATGAGGGGAGTACAGAAGATGGAGTCAGGCTCTTCTCAGCAGAGCCCAGTGACACGACAAGGGGCAATGTGCACAAACTGAAATACAGACAACACCATTTGAACATGAGGAAAAAAGGTTTTTACTGTGGGGGTGGTCAAACACTGGACCAGGTTGCCCAGACAGGTTGTGGACTCTCCATCCTTGGAGACACTCAAAACCCAACTGGGCACAGTCATGGGCAACTGGCCGTAGGTGGCCCTGCTTTGAACAGGTTGGACACAACAATCTCAAGAGGTCCCTGCCAACCTCAGCCACTTGGTGCTTCTGTGAAAACCTTTGCATTTTATCTGATCATGTAACAAGAAAAGAACTGTTTGAGGACCTGCTGATTAGAATCTCATTGTTCAAGACACTTCAAGCTAATAGTCTTCCTACGTTTGCCGATGAAGTAATTAGCGATACTAAATTAACTAAAGGAACCATATAATAAGGGTCAATGTAAAAAAAAAAACCCACGTAACAGTAGGCCTGGGGAAAATCCGTATTAAGAGAATAAAGAACAGATGTCAATTATTATTTTATTACAAGCTACTCAAATATTCAGTTTTATATTCTCTAATCCCTATGCAGATGATTTTGCATATAGATGTGGAAATACTACACAGAGTATGTGCAAAAATGTAAAAAACTAGATTACTTAAGACACTGGTTTTCCAAGCACTTTAATCATTTAGTGACTGCTTTGATAAAAATGACAGGAAAATGCATTTTATTGCTGCATAAGGTATTCTGAAATTTCTCATTTCAACCGAACAGACCGTTGTGCACAGAAATGCTCACTGGTACCATTAACACAGGCGTTGGTCCATCACTCCCCACAACACTCATATTTGGAGCCCAAAGGCTTGTTCATAATCCGCACGCAGCACAGGCTATGCAAGCCGTCAGGCTCTGCTGTGAATATGCACAGTGATTTAAAGATTTGCTCTGTTTCTCTTACGATGGTGTTTCTGAAGCAGCTTGTTCTCTTTAAAGGTATAAATGATCAAACGATACATAGGTCTGGGGATCAAGGGCAGGGTTTAGAGTTGGCAATGTGATAAAAATGCACCTGCTACAGTATAGGGTTAGCCCATCACATTCTCATATAAATAGTTTTAATGCAAAATCTGACCTTGGTTGTTGAATAAAATAAATTTTGACAAATTTTACCGTTGCACTCTTTGCTATTTGACTTAGAAGATATTCTGGTTTAGATCTCACTATTAATTATCAGATACTGTACTTTAAACTTTAGAGAAGAACTGGTAAGTAAGATTTCATAAATTAGAAAGTTTTGTCAACTTGAAACACTGACTTACATGTCGAATTCCTTTTTCTTTTTTTTTTTTTTTAGTTTAGCAAAAGGACAGCATCTATGATAATTCAATATTGGTGGAACACTGTCAAAAATAAATTATTAAATTGAAATTATCGTGTCCTCCTCTTAATCCTCAGCAATTAGTCCTGCAGGTTTCTAAATTTCACTTATGTTTTTAGTACACATATACTAACATCTCAAGAGTCATCCTGGAACGACATCTGCCTTTTGCGACACTACAATAAAGCCCACCCACCAGCAATTGTATGCTTCCACTGCTTATAGAAGGGAGCACATAAGTACCATCTATAGGGAAAGCTATCTCCGCAGTAGATTCATGCTTGGAATCAGATGGAAATGTAATTTCTCTTCTTTCCACTAGACTTAATCTTTTCACAACTTCAGTTAACTTAAACTCTATGCAGTTTACATTCCTCCTGAAGAGCAAAATGAAGTTTTGCTTGAACTAGAAAATATGTATCCTACGCCAACATAAACACATTGCAGACAGATGCACGCTAGAAAGAGTCACCATGTCCCAAGTTACCCAAAACCAAAGTGTACTGAAACACCTTCTTTTTCATCTCTTACCCGGAAAAGCTAGCAAAAAAAAGAGCACTTCTTCCTTTAAAGCACTGCTGAATCATGCAAATGCAAAATGCACTTTGATGCATTTAAAACTTAGGTCCAAAAAAGGCGATGATAAGAGCTAATGGAGTTCTACTTATTTATTTATCTATCTTTTTAAGAATACATTTACTTACTCTCAATTAGGAATTTAGTTTCACTGTTCATGCATAATGGAAGATAATGTCTATGGTATTCATATAAATTCCTGGAAACATTCCTCCAGCCCTTTCTGGATTGAAACCCGTTCTAGAGCTGTGTTACAAAATCAGTTTTCATTCATGTCTCTGAGACAAACGAATACAACTCGAGATGATTTTGGTTACGCTACTGCCTTGCCGTATAAATTGGGCGATCTGCTCGGGTATGCCTACACACAGTGCAATTCCATGCCAAAATCCCCACCCAGCCATGAACAACCTGGTTCCAAATCAGGAGCTCAGAGCCGGGCATGGATGAGCAACTCCATGCTGACACACACAGAAATGCCCCTGGGACCTTAAACTGTTGGTTTTTTTTTTTACATTGCCTTTTGATGACCTGTGAAGCTCTATAGTGACATGTAAATGTGAGCAGCTAATTCAGGGCAATAGTTAAGTTTTTTCATATTCTCCATAAACACATTCTTAAGTCTCTGTCGCAGTCCCCATGCAAACTGGGTTAATACCTCTTTTCACATCTTCACACAAATGGGCTAAGGCAACTCTTACCAGCTGAAGTATCTGGCAGCACTTCTGGCAGAACTCACATCCCTGTTTTTTTCCTGCCCTCCAGCTTTGAATATTTCTGACACAACACATTTGATACGTTTCTTGTAACTTTCTTTGGGTAGATCTCTTCTGTGTATTTCTTTCACCTCCCCTAACATCTTTCAAATCATGAGAATTCTTGGGGGAAGAAGTCTATTTTGATAGCAGCATGACAGGCAAAGCTGCCATAGATCTTAACACTTATTTCACCTATTGTATGGAAATTACAACTTTCTTCCCCTAATTCAAGAACTGTCTGACTTTTTGCTGGTGGATTTGGCAGTAGTACCCGTAGGTTTTTACTTGGTGGCATAAGCCATAGGATTTTGCCCTGAAGACCTAAAAAAGCCAATTTGTCCTTACCAAACTAAGTGGAAACCACAGCTAACATGGAACAACACAAACTTAGATTAAATCCTTATTCTTTCGATATTACGCAGCACATACTTTATTTGCAATTTCTGGTTCTGTTATTGCCACCTGTAAAATACGCCTCCCAGCTCAGCTGAGTAAAAAACTACCCAGAGATCACACAATAAAGAGCTGTTGAAATGCTTATGCAAAAGGAACTCCTGGTAAAGAACAAACCGTAACGTGAGCACTCATTTAGAATTTATAGATGTCAATATATTTCCCCAAATGAAAGAACAACAACTTAGTAGAAATTCTAGGTCTATAAACACAATCTTGAACAGCATTGATTCTCCACTTTAAAACTCATAATTTTGAAATGCGTCTTTGTAACCCAACTTGAACTTCCAGGATCTGATGCGTGAGGACAGGGCTCGCGTGGGTGTGGAGAACCAGGGGATGCAAAAAGTAGAGGCACACGTTTGCAAGTCTGCTACTGATTTCTCCTTTCTAAGAGCCAAAGCCTTTGTTAACCGAGTACCCCTTAAAGATGACACGGAAAAGAATCTTGTACAAGGTCTTGCATTTTACCTAATTTGAAAAACCATTAAGGATTTTGAAATAAGCAGTTATTCATGTAAATGAGAGGCTATCCACTTACAGTTACATACTTATGTACTAAGGGAGCTACTATCTTACTAAATGCTAGTGGAACTTAAGAAGAAGCTCTGTGAAGAACAGAACTACCGCAGTTTAGATTTGTAGCCCTGCTGCAATGTAACGGCTGAAGACGTGAACTTGGTATAAGGAGACTCTTGAGAACCCAGACTGGTTCACATTTCTTTATTTTAATCACTGAAAATGTACAGTGCACCTTCATAGGCACAACGGGCAGTTTTTGTGTTTGTACACGTCTTTCCTTTCCACCAGTTAAAAACACTTAAATATTGTTTTTAACAAATATTATGGCAGAGGGTACAGTTCAGATGTCAAGTGAGCACGGGTTATAACAGATGTTTGGTTATAACACAATCCCAAATTAAGACAGAAGAGGGCCCACAGAGTGGCATGACTGGGGACACTTCTGCTACAAAAAAGCCATACAGAGAGAAAAAAAAAAAAAAAAAAGTTCTGTGCTGAACTAAAATAGCCTGAAGTCATGCTAAAGCAACTGAAAGTGGGGGGTTTTGAAAAGCTTTATAGACTTTTGTAGATCACCTT